TTATCCGATAGTCGATCTTCTCTTGGTAAGCTCGAGGCCAACGACGCTGACCGGCGAGACTCAACTGCTGCGCTAGCTCGGATGTGAGAGAGCGTTGAATGAATCCAGGCACGTGACGATCTGCACAAAGCAAAGAAAACCGGTTAGAATCAGTCAAGTAATAAAGAGATGAACCGTGAGATATGTACCAAAGTCGACACTCCAGCCAGTCCGGAACATGCTCTCCGGATTCTCAGCAGAACTCGAGTCGACGCGAACAAAAAAGTAACTCTTGTCCCAGTCCGGGAACTTGCTGGCTTTGTTCACGGTAACCAAGTCGAACTTCGGGTTGCAATTCACCGACAAAAACCAGCTTTTGGCCGACGAGACCTTCATGATGAAAAGTTCCTCGAACTGGGCCACATTGATATGAGCACGGATGTCGCGCCCGAGCTGGAGAATCCCGACGAAGTTGACTATCGACGCCGGCTGGAGTTGCGATATCGGGCAGCCGCGCCGATTGCAGTAAGCGAACAGCAGAAGCGGTAAAGGGAAAGTCAATCCGGCCTCCCGGAAATACGCCTCGTAGACGCAAATAAAGTCCTCAGGAGCATCCCAAGGGCGTTCTTCCGGTTCGGGAATCTGGATTATGATTCCGGGAGGGGCTCCACCGATCAGCATAGCAGCCTCAACTGTCTCCGGGGACGACAAGGTGGATTTCACTGGAGCGCATATGCATGGCCGATCTACGATCGACATCATGTCGTCGTCGTTCGGATCCTGTGCCTCTCCATCCCCGACCTCGCGCAATGGAGCATCCTCATCCGTCTTCACGTCGGGCTCCCGTCCCGGGACCAAGTCAGTGGGAACTTGGCGCTCGGGCTCGCGAAGATTTCGATCTATCCGTTCTGGAGCTCGAATCGGAACTCGGCTACTAGAGCCGACCTCGACGAGCTGAGAATTCTTCCGAACCAAAGAGACATTTGAAGAATGCTCTGTAGATCCCGAACTCGAGATGTCAGTGGAAGTTTCCTCCCTATGGTGTTCGGGAAGAATGGCGGCCTCGGAGTTGGAAGAAGAGTCGGAAGACATTGTCGGAGAGTTCGAGAGAATAACCGTCGACGAGAGAGCACGGCGGACGGCGACCGGAAATTCTAGAGAGAGAAAGAAGAAAATTTAGAGAGAATGGAGAGCAAATACCTTGGCAGTAGGAGCGAAAAAGTAAGAAATGGGGAGAGATGAGCCCTATTTATAGAAGAAGAGCGAATCATTGCGACTTCTCGAGTCCCGCGCCCTGAAACGTCTCGATTTCCCGCCTAAACCGACGCGACTTTTCAATTCCCCACAAGCAAAAATACTTAAATGCCCTTGTCGAAACATCAGAGGAACGAAGAGGGGCGTAAGTCGAGAACTCAACGTCACCGACCTCGGTCATTAGCCGATCCTGCTCCAATTCGGCAAAAGTCAGTCAGGTCCATTTACCGAACGGGGGGGGGGACATACTGTTGGTGGTACGCTCCGCTCCCCGGTTCAGACCGGTTAAAGACCGAGACCGACCCAATTGATCCCGGTTTACTTTGGTTTTAGCCGAAATAGGCCTGACCTGACAGCACGGCCCATAAGAGAAAAGCCCAGTGATAAGAGGCGGTGAGAGCTGAACGAGAAGCCCTAGAACATCTCCTCGTTTATGTACTATAAATAGTAGAATTGTTACTGTAGAGGGGATCCTTTTTCGGACCCAGAGAATAGAGATCTGAATATTGTATCGAGTTCGTCGAGAGGCCTCTGAACTGAACGGATTGTAATTGAGAACTTAATAAAATATAATTGATTTAATCTTTCGAACTCTAATTACCGAACCGTCCCCAGATAGTTAAGAACCACAATCAACAAGTATAATATAGAAATTGAAAATTTTACACAAAACTCACTGGATGCGACTGCTAGCTCATAAGCTTCCTTTCAATCTTGGCAAGGACACTGTTCACAATTGAAATATTGAACATGTTAATTAACTAAAAACCCTGTTTTACAGTGTTATTTTTGTACTTGAAGTATGTGTTTATAAGAATTTTTGAGAACCAAATTAAAGAAAATGAGAAGAAATTGAGAAAGTTCGTCTTAACTCTAGTTTTTTTTGTATATTCTTGGATTCTGATTTCTGAATCATCACAAAGTTTTCTTTCAGATGACATCTGTGGACGAAAAAACTCAAAAAGCAATATCTTGAAACATATAAAGATAATATCTTTCAATTTCTTATTTTTGCTTCCACTGGCTTAAATTATCCTTTTGGAAAATCATAAAAAAAATAGTTAAGAAGGTAAATGCTAGTTGGTTGGAGATATTTGGCTAAAATGATTAATACATTAACAATACGATCGACTAACTAATATAAAATGATTAATTGTTCTAAAAGACTAAAAAACTAAATTGATAGTGGAAGAGAAATGAGAACAATATTAATTGAGAAGTTATTGGAGTTTTGTATAATATGAATTTTTTCTGTGTTCATTTATGTGTTTTGTAGTGTGTGATGTATTAGAGTTTCTCTGTGTGACGTGGTTGTGTTCGAGTGTATTTTGAAATTAGTGTGCATTTGTTTTTTGTGTTCATTTGTGCTGTTTTGTTATGCTCATGTCTTGTTTTGATTTGTGTTTGATATTTTGTTCTGTTTTAGCATGTTTTGAGTTTTTGTGCTTTGGGCTTAGTTGTGCTTGAGTGTGTTTTCAGATAGTGTGAGCAACCCAAAATGAGTTATACGAGAACAGAGTGAGCAAGTTATCAGAAATGAAAAATAAGATTTCTCAGAAATATAGTAATGGCAGAAAACCTAGAGTGGATTAGTAAGGAGGACAGAGTACCACCAGATTTTATGTGTCACAGTTTTATTACAAGCATCGTTTCCTTTTACATGAAATGGCTCCAAAACACTGAGTATGAGTCGCTGGACACTAATGAAAACAAAAAACAATGGTTGTGAGCTCCATGGAAAACTATATCAGATTGAATGAAGAATGTTAGAAGAGGCCACGTGCCTCTTACTATTTTTTTTTAAAGTATTTTAAGTAAATTTAATTAAAATATTCTTAATTTATGGTAAAAATAAAAATGTGTCTCATCTATAAACCTTTTTCCATATTTCTAATATTATACCCCCATCTATAAAACTTTCTAGATCTGCCACTGTGTGTGAATTGTGAAACTTATACTTCCGAGACCTAGCACAAAGCCTCAATTAAATAATGGAAGCAAGAACTATCGGCTATATCTAGCTGTGCACATCTTTTAATTTTTTCCATCTCTTGTCGCACCTAAAACAAACAATATATATAATGTAAAGAAAACATAGATTATATGATAACAAAAGTAGCCAATATATTGAAATCAGAGACATGTTAGAAAATTCAGAAAACCTGACCATATGATATGTTCATAGTTCAGAAAACAAGTTCAGGCCATATGTTCAAAAGGAATGAAACTGATCAAGAAACAGAGCAAAACAAAGCAACTAAATGGCTGCTTTTAAGATTATCCTATTAAAAAAGTGTGTAAACATCAAAAGTACAGATTTGGGGATGAAGAAATTTACAGGAAACTTCAACTAGCAACACGAATGGGTCCAGCAAACTCCTGGTCAATCCTGAATTAACACCACACGAAAACTTGAAGGTGAAGCAATTGGATTTTCCTGATAAAATAATGAAATAAATATATAAAAAGAAGAAATCTCACTCTGTGATGGCAGTTCTAACGACGGTGCCTTGGCCTTCCTTATCAAGCTTTCTAGCACTTTTTGGATTACTATTCTCTCCATGCAATTCCAGTCGGAAGAACTAGACATGTTGATGGCGATGATGTTAATGGAGGAAGTCAGACCATACGATAATTTAAAAAGCAGTTATTCTTAGTCTCATTACCTCTGGATCCATCAAGAGATTGTGAGGCTTAAAATCTCTGTTATGATAATTAAAACACAGTAGTTAATTATCCCGAAAAAAAACCTAAAAAAATATCAAAGGAATCAATTATGAAACTGAGAAAACGAGAGAATCGTCTATCAAAGGAACAGAGACACAATCGAAAAAAATGTCAAGCAATCAGCGTTCAAATCTGTAAATTAGCGATGTTGGGATCACGAGCAAGAAGGAGATCTCGCGGAGGTTAGTGGAAGCCTTTACCGCTCTGAAGGAGATCTATAGCTTTTGTCGAGTGATATACTTAGGCGCCTTTGCCCTTTTTTTTTTTCTAAGTGTTCCTGCATAAGTGAAAAAATGAGATGCAAGGAGAGATTTGGCTTCCCACTTATGTTTTTTCGGGTTAGCATTTGATAAATGCTATGATAGGAAGGACTTCGACCAATCTATAATAGCAGTTTAGTAAACTGCACTATAATATTGTGCTATCAATGCCCGAATTTGTTGTAGTTAAGGAACGTCCTCATAGATGCGTCTTCAGAGAAGCGAACATTCCAGTAGCTTCCTCATTTCTCTCTTCCAAGATTTTGGTCATGTGACCTCGAGGTAGAGTTGGACTTCAAACGACAACGACTACTTTAAAGTCTATTAAAGTCTTCTGTTTAAGTTTTCTCAATTTCTATGGTATATGTCATTTGCCGGAAAAGAAAAACAAAAATAAAGTCTTCTGTTTAAGTAAAGATCTAGTAGATGCTTTTTTTTAACGACGGCGTAACTTTCGTTATTATTCTGCGATTTTATTTTCACTTCTAGAGATCCAGTTGACTAGTGATTCCTAGAACTTTCCTGGCCAAATTTTGTTATTTCTTAACTAATTATGCAATGCGAAATCCAAAGTGTCACTATTGATAAGTTTGCAAACAGTTTTGTTATCTCCTTGAAAACATTCAATATGGCATTCTGATAACCTCGACTCCAAGTTTTGTTAATTATGGTTATAATTAACTCCAGAAAAGGAATTATGAACATAAATACACACGCAAAAAAAATCAACTTAATGAAAGAAAAAAAACAATTTTAGGTACTAAGAATATGGAAAAACATTTAAGAATCAATTATTCCTAATAACCTATAAGATCATACTAAAATAAGTACGTGCTAGCTTCGCATGAAACTCGTTCTTGACTTGGAAAAGCAAGCAACGGAGAGACAATACCTGCTTATCAAAACAAACACACAATCTTTCTCAATAATTCGTTCTCATTACCATAGAAACAAAAATAACAATAAGTCGATATATGTGAATATGATCATAAACATTACCATAGAAATGAGTAAAGATAATTGTCCATTGGTACACCTTTACTACGAATCAAGTTCTCATTGTCTCTCGGGACTGGATAAGGTCTATTTTCATCAATATCACTATATGTCTTCTCTATATAGATCGTGTTCTCACCAAATCCCATGGCTTGAGCCAATTCAGGAACGTCAACGAAGAACCACTTACCCGAACTTGGATCATTTGGTAGAACAAATATGCCTGGAATCTCACTTTTTCTAACCACACCAACCACTTCCACATGCATAACCCTAGAGGCTTGCTCCTGCATGGCCATAATATTTCCACAAAACTTATCTACCGAATTTGATACATATGTTGAGCAATTTCAGGTTTATGCAATGAAGACTAACTAACCTCAGCAATCACTGACTTGGCAAACAACTTATGCAAGAACTTCAACAAGGGATTTTGTTGAGAAGGGAGTAGTTTATTAGCTTTTCTCAATTCTTTTGCAGCAACATCATCGGTTTTTGTGGATTCTAGAGACTCTTCTTTCCAATCCGAAGGAACCCATCCGCGATTTACTAGAATAGGAGACTTCATGCTAGTGCCAAAAAAAAGGAGATGAAGAAACAGTTAGTTCCTTTTGTATCGGAAATTTTTCTTTTTCTTTTTATAATTATAATTTGTAAAGGTTTGTATATTACATCCATATTATCATCTAGACACACCACATCATCATCTAAATCCATCATCCATAAGTTCGTTTATAAAACAATTTTTTGCATCTGAACGTTATATCTGGATGCAATTTTGTTTGTTTGTAAGAGAATTCACATACATTTCATATCCACATAAACATAACCGATCATCAAACAACACTACATTATTTGCATCCAGATGTGGTATCTATACGCCCATGAAACACGTGAACTTGCATCAAATATGGTATCAAGATCACAAAAGACTAATGTGTATATATTTGTTTGCAAATGAAGTAGCGAAATCACCTATTTGGTTCATTAGGGATTGGCAAGAGAGGTGTAATGACATAGAAGCCACTTTCAGACCCTTTGGACATGGATCTAGGCTTTGGACCCACATAGATCGATCTTTGCTTGTCAAAAACGCCTTTACACACTACCCGTCGAAATCCTATTCTATCAACATTCTTCACTGCAGTCATTAGCTTCATTGGTTCCATTTGTAAGCATAGTTGTCTGAAATCCAGCTGTTTCATTATCTTTGAAACAAAAAGTTGGAACAAATTCTTTAGCAGATCGTAGTTTCACATTCTGTTAGGAGATCCAGGTCATAATATTTCTATACTGTACAGTTATTGAGAATTAACTTTTTGTTAGGAAAAAATCCTAATGATATACAAAAAAGTTGCCATTAAAACAACAAAATTTGAAGGTAATATATTATTCATCGATTCAGAAAGAGATTAATAATGAGAAATTAAGAACCTCTTCTCGCTGTCTGATCTTCTGCCAATCGGCCACACCGTATGTAAACAATCCACCCAAGAACCATAATAGCGTTGACCCTATTTTCTTCTCTGCAAAACATTTTTTTTTTGTAAATCACTCTACAAAAATATATATAATCAAGATTTAGAGCTCAATCATAAATTAAATATGAGGGAGCAAGCGCAAAATACTTGCAGGTGGTATAGCAGAAGACATCGATCGAGTCTCAAGAGAGGTGGAAGTTTTTGGAGCGGGATGCAATAATGGAGCAGCAGAGAGATTACTTCTAGTGGAAGACCTGTGACTATGAGATATCAACTTCGTTAAAGTTTTAGCAAAGAGTTTTTGCATCATCTTTGTCTCCAATATTTTGATCTTTGTCTTCTCCAAGAATCTTGATCCTGTAAATTTTTAGTGATAATCTATGACGACTACAAGGTTTGATTAAAGTCTTCACGCCTTCTTTCTCGGACGGCAGATGAGACGGCACCATTCTAATGTATATATTTTTTTAATAACCATAAGCACATGGGACACCATCTAATTAGATTATTATTACATATGGGGATGGTAATAATTAATCACAACTACAATTGTCTTTTAAATAAGGAACGGCAGGTGGATGTCACTAAAACTTGTAGCATGTACAGTCCTGTATGTGAATTTACCTTCCTCAACTTTCTATAGCAAAATGGAAAAAAAAAATATAGAATTAATAGAGATTAATAAACAAAATTAGCTATAAATAGCTATAGACAGTTCAAATGACAATAAAAATTCGAACTTCCAGGGCAAAATCGGGCACAAACAGCATTCCTTCGCATCTTACAACCGTAGGTGTTAAGTAACTTTTGATCAAATGAGAGACTGTTCTAATAATTACTATATTTCTACTATTTCTAGACTGTCTAGGTATTTATGTTCTTGATAAGAACATCTTAGTTAATTTATACTAAATATATATATATATATATTTTTTTTAAAAATTACTTCCACATGTTTTATAGGTCAAAGAAAAAACGAAACAAATAAATGGGTGATTTTGCAGTGATGACATTAGTATAAATTAGTAGACTATATATGAGTATTTAAAAAAGAGAGAATAAAATCAGTTAAAATGTTTTATATCTATTATTATCATAATTTAATAAATTTATTTAATGATAAATATTATTTGCAAAAGCTTATGAAGAGTATGCATTAAAAAAAAATAGAGTGCCTAATATTTACATTGTATGATAGAGATATATTTGTATCCTCAATGGTAACAATAAATTTAGAGTTAGTTCAGTTTAATAAGTAAATATGGAAAAATATGCGCCACAACATTTATACAAATTTTGTACTTCTAATTTATGAGCTAAAATAAATTTTATAAAGTTATCGACATAAAAAAATATATATGCCCACACTAGGTGTAGGAGTAAAATCTTCTACTATTAGTTAAAAACTCAAAATTATAATTTTCATTCCTTTTTTGCCAAAAAGTTATGTCTTTATTCACAATTTATTTATTTAATAAATCTTTTTAAAAATAGGTTGAGTAATAATTTTATCTACTCTACATTTATATCTTCAATGGTAATAATAAATTTAAAGTTGGTTAAGTTTAATAACTAAAATACAAAAAAACGTGTGCAACACTATTTCTATAATATTTTTACCTTATATTTATGGATAATTTAAATTTTATAAATTTATTTACATAAAAAATGCTCAAAAAATATTCTAATATTAATAAAAAAAATTTCAATTAATACTTTTTATTCCTAACAAATCATAAGTTTTAAAGTCATAATTTATTTACTTAATAAATCTTCTAAAATATATGTTGATAGTCAATCTTATTTACTTAACATGTGTATTCTTAACGGTAATAATAAATCTAAAGTTAGTTAAATTTATTAACTAAACTATAAAAATATGCATGAAAACATTTATATAAATTGTGTACTTCAAATTATATTTATAAACTAATTTAAACTTTATAAAATTGTAAACATAAAAACAAAAATATGTGCGCGTAAAATCTTATAACAGTAATGATAATTATAAAGTTAGTTAAATTTAATAACTAAACTATAAAATTATGTGTGACACTATTTACATAAATTATGTATCTTTAAATTATAGTTTATCTTTAAATTATAGTTTATCTTTAAATTATATTTATGAAAAATTTAAATTTAATAAAATTACTGACATAAAAATAAAAATATGTGCGCGTCTTCTAACGGTAATAATAATTCTAAAGTTAGTTAAATTTAATAACTAAATTCTAAAAATACTTGTGACACCATTTACATAAACTGTGTACCTTCAAATTATATTTATGAACTAATGCAAATTTCATAAAGTTATTAACATAAAAAAAAAATATTCAACTACAAAATCTTAAAATATTATTCAAAACTTCAAAATTATAATTTTCATTCTTTTTTTAGCCAACAAAATATAAGTTTTCAAGTCACATTTAATTGGTTGAAAATATCCTCTAGGAAATCTGTTTTAAAGTCATAATTTATTTACTTGATAAATCTTCTAAAATATATGTTGATAGTCAATCTTATTTACTTAACACATGTATTCTTAATGGTAATAATATATCTAAAGTTAGTTATATTTAATAATTAAACTATATAAATACGCGTGACAACATTTACATAAACTATGTCATAATTTATTTTACTTAATAAATCTTCTAAAATATATATTGATAGTCAGTTTTATTTACTTAACATGTGAATTTTTAATGATAATAATAAATCTAAAGTTAGTTAAATTTATTAATTAAATTATTAATATATTTGTGACAATATTTACATAAATTGTGTACTTTCAAATTATATTTATAAACTAATTCAAACTTCATAAAGTTGTTGACATAAAAAAATATATGCGCGCTCCAAATCTTCTAACGGTAATAATAATTCTAAAGTTAGTTAAATTTAAAAACTAAATTCAAAAAATACTTGTGACACCATTTACATAAACTGTGTACCTTCAAATTATATTTATGAACTGATGCAAATTTCATAAAGTTGTTAACATAAAAAAAATATTCACGCACAAAATCTTCAAATATTATTCAAAACTTCAAAATTATAATTTTCATTCTTTTTTTTTAGCCAACAAAATATAAGTTTTCAAGTCACATTTAATTGGTTGAAAAAATCCTCTAGGAAATCTGTTTTAAAGTCATAATTTATTTACTTGATAAATCTTCTTAAATATATGTTGATTGTCAATCTTATTTGCTTAACACATGTATTCTTAATGGTAATAATATATCTAAAGTTAGTTATATTTAATAATTAAACTATATAAATACGTGTGACAACATTTACATAAACTATGTCATAATTTATTTTACTTAATAAATCTTCTAAAATATATATTGATAGTCAGTTTTATTTACTTAACATATGAATTTTTAATGGTAATAATAAATCTAAAGTTAGTTAAATTTATTAATTAAATTATTAATATATTTGTGACAATATTTACATAAATTGTGTACCTTCAAATTATATTTATAAACTAATTTAAACTTCATTAAGTTGTTGACATAAAAAAATATATGCGCGCTCCAAATCTTCTAACGGTAATAATAATTCTAAAGCTAGTTAAATTTAAAAACTAAATTCTAAAAATACTTGTGACACCATTTACATAAACTGTGTACCTTCAAATTATATTTATGAACTGATGCAAATTTCATAAAGTTGTTAACATAGAAAAAAATATTCACGCACAAAATCTTCAAATATTATTCAAAACTTCAAAATTATAATTTTTATTCTTTTTTTTAAGCCAACAAAATATAAGTTTTCAAGTCACATTTAATTGGTTGAAAAAATCCTCTAGGAAATCTGTTTTAAAGTCATAATTTATTTACTTGATAAATCTTCTAAAATATATGTGGATAGTCAATCTTATTTACTTAACACATGTATTCTTAATGGTAATAATATATCTAAAGTTAGTTATATTTAATAATTAAACTATATAAATACGTGTGACAATATTTACATAAACTATGTCATAATCTATTCTACTTAATAAATCTTCTAAAATATATATTGATAGTCAGTTTTATTTACTTAACATGTGAATTTTTAATGGTAATAATAAATCTAAAGTTAGTTAAATTTAATAACTAAATTATTAATATATGTGTGACAATATTTATATAAATTGTGTACCTTCAAATTATATTTATAAACTAATTCAAACTTCATAAAATTGTTGGCATAAAAAAAAAATATGCGCGCCCAAAATCTTCTAACGATAATAATAATTCAAAATTTAGTTAAATTTAAAAACTAAATTCTAAAAATACTTGTGACACCATTTACATAAACTGTGTACCTTCAAATTATATTTATGAACTGATGCAAATTTCATAAAGTTGTTAACATAAAAAAAATTATTCACGCGCAAAATCTTCAAATATATATTCAAAACTTCAAAATTATAATTTTCATTCTTTTTTTTTAGCCAACAAAATATAAGTTTTCAAGTCACATTTAATTGGTTGAAAAAATCCTCTAGGAAATCTGTTTTAAAGTCATAATTTATTTACTTGATTAATCTTCTAAAATATATGTTGATAGTCAATCTTATTTACTTAACACATGTATTCTTAATGGTAGTAATATATCTAAAGTTAGTTATATTTAATAATTAAACTATATAAATACGTGTGACAATATTTACATAAACTATGTCATAATTTATTCTACTTAATAAATCTTCTAAAATATATATTGATAGTCAGTTTTATTTATTTAACATGTGAATTTTTAATGGTAATAATAAATCTAAAGTTAGTTAAATTTAATAACTAAATTATTAATATATGTGTGACAATATTTATATAAATTGTGTACCTTCAAATTATATTTATAAACTAGTTCAAACTTCATAAAGTTGTTGACATAAAAAAAAATATGCGCGCCCAAAATCTTCTAACGGTAATAATAATTCAAAAGTTAGTTAAATTTAATAACTAAATTCTAAAAATACTTGTGATACCATTTACATAAACTGTGTCCCTTCAAATTATATTTATGAACTGATGCAAATTTCATAAAGTTGTTAACATAAAAAAAATATTCACGCACAAAATCTTCAAATATATATTCAAAACTTCAAAATTATAATTTTCATTCTTTTTTTTTTAGCCAACAAAATATAAGTTTTCAAGTCACATTTAGTTGGTTGAAAAAATCCTCTAGGAAATCTGTTTTAAAGTCATAATTTATTTACTTGATAAATCTTCTAAAATATATGTTGATAGTCAATCTTATTTACTTAACACATGTATTCTTAATGGTAATAATATATCTAAAATTAGTTATATTTAATAATTAAACTATATAAATACGTGTGACAACATTTACATAAACTATGTCATAATTTATTTTACTTGATAAATCTTCTAAATATCGATAGTCAGTTTTATTTACTTAACATGTGAATTTTTAATGGTAATAATAAATCTAAAGTTAGTTAAATTTAATAACTAAATTATTAATATATGTGTGACAATATTTACATAAATTGTGTACCTTAAAATTATATTTATAAACTAATTCAAACTTCATAAAATTGTTGACATAAAAACAAAAATATGCGCGCGCAAAATCTTCTAACGGTAATAATAATTTTAAAGTTAGTTAAATTTAAAAACTAAAATAGAAAAATATGCATGACACCATTTATATAAACTGGCACCTTTAAAATATATTATGAACTAGTTTAAGTTTCATAAAATTGTTTGACATAAAAACAAAAATATGCGCGCGCAAAATCTTCTAATATTATTCAAAAATTCAAAATTATATAACTTTGATTCCTTTTTTTAGCCAACAAAATATAAGTTTTCAGGTCACATTTAATTCATTGGCTGAATAAATCCTCTAGGAAATCTGTTGGTAGTCTTATCTACTATCTACATTTGTGTATATAAATAAGAAAATGAAATCCTTTGTCCTTAATCTTCTGTTGAAAGTCATTAACGACGTTTAACCATATAGTCAAGTTTCGTCTTCAACAGGTTTGACTATTTTTTTTCCCTATCTTTCTTCATTTTTTAGGCTTTTGAAAAGATTTGCTTCCCACTTGTACACTTACGTCCTCTTCTACTTCATCGAAAGAGAGATTTTGATTCTGAAATGAAGATGGTGTTTGGAATTGTGTCGTAGGGCCGTTTGTGGCAAGGTTTTGTTTTTGGGAATCAGACATGGTGTTCAAAAAGAAGCTCTTCTTCTCCTCGAAGAAATCGGGATCTTCCGATAGCTCTAACAGTCCGCGATCTGTTGGCTCAAACTCTCCGATCGGAACCGATAAGAAGAAACCAAAATCCAATTCGAAAGAGGAAACTCAAAGCCCTAACAGGAGCCCCGTTTCTGGCTCCGCCGGAGATAAAGATGGTTTAAAGAAGAAGGACGGTTCATCAAAGGGCAAAGAAGCCTCCTCCGATCAAGTTCACTCTCCTAGTCACGGCAAATCGAACTTGTCGTCTTCCGGTTCTGAGGCGAAGAAACCAACTGCTGAAACGCCTATTTTGGCCTCATCTCTGGGTTTGAATCGAATCAAGACGAGGTCGGGCCCTTTGCCGCAGGAAAGTTTTTTCAGTTTTGGGAATGAGAAAGCAATTCCGGTCGTACCGTGTTACGACTTGCCGAAGTTGGGTACTCGTTGGGACTCTGGCTCGGGTAGTGGCAGTACGAAGAAGGAAGCCAATGTTGGTCACATACCTGCAATGCCGGCATTGAAAACTGGTATGCTCAAAATTTCTCTTGATCATTTTGTTGGACTGATATGATGTTCTGACTTGTGCCCATTGTATCCTCGAACTTTTCTTGCCTGATTCTGCCTGTTATCGTCGAAATGTTGTTTGATGTTTCAGTTATTGCTTCTCAAATTTGATTTTGATGCTAACTAAGCAGGTCAATCCAAAGTAGGAAGCTCAGAATTTGGCACACCTGAGGTATATTCTCTCCTTAGTCCTTACTATCTTTTTAATAAATAAAAAAAAAAACAAAAAGTTTGTGTTCTGTATATATCAGTTCTAAGTGGTGACTTGACGTCTATCTTTGTAGAATTCATATGAATTGGAAAATCCAAAAGATTGTCAAGCCTTACTTCGCATGACCAGTGCTCCAAGAAAGAGGTTTTCTGGTGACATCAAGAGCTTTTCTCATGAGTTGAACTCGAAAGGTGTACGACCTTTTCCATTATGGAAGCCTCGTAGGTCAAATAACTTGGAGGTAGTCTCAAGGCTCATGTCTCTGTAGTAATTCATATGAAATGCGTTCACCGCATGCTCTAATCACCTGTCTTATGCAGGAAGTCTTGAATATAATTCGGACCAAATTTGATAAAGCAAAGGAAGATGTAAATTCGGACCTTATCCTTTTTGGTGGGGACCTAGCGGAAAGTCTTGACAAAAATGGAGAAAGTCATCCTGAGTTGCAGGAAACAGTGGAAGACTTGTTAATTTTGGCACGGAAATGTGTTAAGGCTACCGCAGGAGAGTTCTGGCTTCAATGTGAGGGCATAGTTCAAGACTTAGATGATAGACGTCAGGAGCTTCCCCCGGGGGTGCTCAAGAAGCTTCACACTCGGATGCTGTTCATCCTTACCAGATGTACTAGATTACTTCAGTTTCATAAGGAAAGTTGGGGGCAGGAAGAAGAGGTCGTCCAACTATATCAGTCAAGAGTCATGCATTCTACCGATAAAAGAGTCCCCACTGGAGAAGGTTTGAATTGGAAAGAGGACTTTGTTGATCGTCCATCTCTTCTCTCTTCTCCATACAATGAGACTTCAGAGGATTCTGAATTGCCTGCAAACATCAATAAAATGTCTTCGTGGAAAAGACTTCCATCTCCAGCAGCAAAGGGTGTACAGGAAGCTGCAGTATCAAAAGAAGAGAATGATAGTAAAGTTGAACCTCCAACGGTGGTTAAAAATCGAGCAGCTACGAGTGATGGTATGGCTATTGCTAAGCCGCCAGACTATCCTCCCATGAAATCGTCTCATGAAGATATGTCCAAGCATCGGCACAATATATCTTGGGGTTATTGGGGGGATCAGTCATGTATTTCGGAGGAAAGTTCGATTATTTGTCGTATATGCGAGGAGGATGTTCCCACCACACACGTGGAAGATCACTCTAGGATATGTGCATTGGCTGATAAATGTGACCAAAAGGGTGTGAGTGTTGATGAGCGGCTTGTGTCAGTTGCTGTAACTCTTGACAAAATAACAGAGACCTTCATACAGAAAGATAGCCAAGCAGCGGAAGAAACCCCAGATGGTATGAGAATATCTAACGCGAGCTTGACTGGAGAATCTGATGTTCTCTCCCCAAAGCTAAGTGACTGCTCGCGAAGAGGGTCGGAGGACATGCTCGACTGTTTTCCAGAGGCTGATAATTCAGCTTTCATTGATGATATGAGATGTTTAACTTCAATGTCATGCAGAACTCGTTTTGGTCCCAAGTCTGATCAAGGCATGACTACTTCTTCTGCCGGTAGCATGACTCCTAGATCCCCTATTCCAACCCCTAGACTCGATCCAGTTGAATTGTTATTACGAGGCAAGGGTACATTCCATGACCAAGACGATATACCACAGGTATGTGATGGTTCTTCTCTATATTCATATCTTCCTAGTCCTTTGTTATTGAATATGCGCACTGACTAATAACAACCTGGACAACTGATTATGCAGATGACTGAACTTGCTGACATTGCAAGATGCGCAGCAAATGCCATTCCAGATGCCGATCAATCCATTCAGCTCTTACTTTCTTGTCTTGAAGACTTAAGGGTTGTCATAGACCGCAGAAAGTTTAATGCGCTCACAGTAGAAACTTTTGGGACACGCATAGAAAAGTTGATACAGTGAGTTCCTGGTACTACTTTGTCTTAAATATTTTTTGGATCTCTCCCCGTGCCGTCTTTGCTTGCAATGCAAGTGTTCTGGGAAATGAATTCTGATCTCCAGAAATATTACTTGTCAGTTGAGGCAAATATTGAAAAAATGATTTTGTTTGTTATGTAGGGAAAAGTATCTTCAGGTGTGCGAGCTTCTGGATGATGCAAAAGTTGACCTAACAAGCACCGTAATTGATGAAGATGCTCCTTTAGAGGATGACGTTGTTCGCAGCTTGAAGACCAGCCCAGTACATCCGCGTGATCGCATATCCATAGATGATTTTGAGCGGATAAAAGAAATTAGTAGGGGAGCTTTTGGGCGAGTTTTCTTGGCTAGAAAGATAACAACTGGAGACATATTTGCAATTAAGGTATTCTTAATTTCAGTTTGGTTTACATCTATTACTGTTGTGAAAGATTCTGTCTGTACAGTTAGGCTGGCTTGGTTGGCAAAATCAGTCAAACTGTTTCTCTAAATCTTGTTTTGGGGGGCCGTCATACTTCATAGGTTCTGAAGAAGGCAGATATGATCCGCAAGAATGCTGTTGAAAGTATACTTGCTGAACGAGATATTTTGATCAACGTCCGCAATCCCTTTGTGGTGAGCTGCTCTAACTTTTAAGCATATATTTTCCTCTGCAGAGGTTTCATTATTGCTAACGTAACCATTTTTTTGACCAGGTTCGATTCTTCTATTCTTTTACTTCTCGTGAGAACCTGTATCTTGTGATGGAATACCTGAATGGAGGGGATTTTTATTCCATGTTGGGAAAATTAGGTTGCTTGGATGAAACTAATGCCCGTGTATACATTGCCGAAGTTGTAAGTGTGCAATACTCTTATAAATAATGTCATTATAACAAGATAATTTTATCGAGTTGTTGTTACTCAGTGTCGATAATCCATGTCAGGTTCTTGCTTTGGAATATTTACACTCTGAGGGTGTTGTGCATCGTGATTTAAAACCTGACAATTTGTTGATTGCACATGATGGTCATGTTAAGGTAATAACCATTTGAGAACTTATATTGAATATTATGAGGCCTTCTGTACGTTTAGTTGATGTCATGCAGTGTGATGCTCTGGAGATTATAGTCTCTTTTTATCTGAAGCTCATAAATTAGCCTTTGCATTTATGAGACTATAAATCTAATACATGGATATATCTATAATCAGAACCTTGCTTCCCTGTTGACCATATCGGTACCTTTTTTCTTTCATCTGAGCAGTTGACAGATTTTGGTCTCTCAAAAGTTGGTCTCATCAACAGCACTGATAAGCTCTCTGGTCCGGTTTCCAGCGGAACGTCTCTGCTTGTTGAGGAGAAACCAAAATTGCCAACATCAGAGCATCAGCTTGAAAGGCGAGATAAGCGATCTGCAGTGGGCTCTCCTGACTACTTGGCGCCAGAAATTCTTCTGGGGACAGGACATGGTGCACACACACACTTCCTTCTAATCTTGTTATCCGCGTATCTCTAGTATTGAAAATCTTACTTTTGAGTAGAAATTGGTGCTGGGTTGCGATTAAATTAATATTGGTCCTGGAATGAGATTGTTTATCTGAATAACAAAATGTGTGGTATATCAAGTTGATTACAGTTCTACTTATCTGGTGGTGTAAGTAGAAAGCTTGGATATATATAGCGTATTCGCTAAGTTAGGCAATTCAGATTCATACCAAATTGTTGCTCTGCATAGTTTTAGATATTCAATTCTGTTTATCACATACCAAATAAAAATTGATTTACTCCATAACTGTTCAGGTGCAACTGCGGATTGGTGGTCTGTTGGCATAATTTTGTTTGAATTCATTGTGGGGATTCCGCCCTTTAATGCTAGTCATCCTCAGGTTAGTGACTAGATATTGCATCGTTCTGTAAATCGTTTTGATAGAGGAAATAGTGGTTTCTCAAAGTTCTAGAAACTGACGTTCTAACTTTGGCTTGTCATCAATGTTGTGTTCTTTTGTTAAGCCTCTTAAGTATCTACATTTTCATTTAACATCTTCATCGTGTCACTCCAACTCCCTGATATTTGATCTGCATCTTCATTGTTGGGTTTTAGCAAATATTTGACAATATTCTCAACCGTGATATACCATGGCCTAGTGTTCCAGAGGATATGAGCCATGAAGCCCGTGATTTAATAGATCGGTAAGTGATTTTTTTATCCGTCCAATCATATGCGTAGTGAAAATAGTCCTTTCAAAATTTGTCGGCAGATAAAAAACCCCTTTTCTTCTCAACTTTTGCTTGAGTTATGACTATATGTGTGTTTCCATAAGGGTCCAAGTAAATGCCTATTTTGATCATGCTTGTTTCAGTATCACCTTATAGCCGAATTGAGAAGAAGACAAGGGTATTATTTTTTGTAACATTGTGTCATGTACTTTATCCAGGTTATTAACGGAAGATCCTCATCGGAGACTTGGAGCTAGAGGAGCGGCTGAGGTGACTTTGCATTTCTTTTTCTTGGTTGACTGATTCCAGTTTTTTGGTAGTGTTGTGTAGTGATGAAACAAATATCATGATACAGGTCAAGCAACACATCTTCTTTAAAGACATAAACTGGCACACTCTAGCAGAGCAAAAGGTGAATTCATTTATCTTTTTCTTTTAATTCATAAGCTTTGCGTTTGACCATAAAAAGTCATAAGCTTTGCAAACTCTTTTTTTTTTTTTTTGCATTTTTAATGCTTGATTTTTCTAGGCTGCATTTGTGCCGGATACTGAAGATGCTCTTGACACAAGTTACTTCCAAAGTCGCTACCCGTGTAACTTTTCAGATGAGCAATGTTTTCCAACCAATGAGAATGAGGATTCTAGTGACACTGGAAGCAGTGGTTGCTTGAGCAATGGTCACAACGATGGGGTAATATCTGCTGATCCACTCTCAGAAAATACTAGCGTTAGATTTACATGTGTAATGTCTCTGAATTGGATCAATGATGGTGTGCAGGTTGATGAACGTGGCAAACCTGAGGAGTTGGAAACTAGTGTTTCTGAAAATAACCCATTCGATAATTTCTCGTTCAAGGTATAGTATACTTTTCTCCTTATATTCCTTGTCATTCAAGTATACGATTTATCATAGTTTTATATAGTTGGAGAAGCTCCCTTGCAAGTGTCGTTTTCAGCATTGATATCTCTACATAGGTTGTTAGCTTTTACGACTTGCAGAATCCTTTATTATAGATTGGTAGTTTATGGAACTTGTGTGCTCTGCCTCCACCCAATTCAAGTCTAGAACTGGGTTATATCTATCCCATTATGGAAAATGATTTTGAGTAGTTGAAGTGGTGTGCTTATGAGAGAACCACTTACATAGCATTTTGACTTACTCTTTTTACGGTATAAAGAACCTCTCGCAGCTGGCATATATCAACTATGATGTGATGTCCAAAGGTCAGAAAGATGGAACCCAACCAAGTTTGCATCGAAGAAAAACAAATTAATGTTACATGTTATTCTGTACATGTAAGTCATTGTTCACTCACCATTAAGTATCCATAACAAAGCTGATTTCTAGTTTTGAGTTTTACTCCTGATGCTGCATTGATGTTACATATTTGCAGAGACAGGAAGAAAAGGAGAGGAAAAGAAAAAAGAGAAATGGCGGTTATTGGTGTTTTGCGATTTGATATTTGTTTGGATTTGTAGTTAATAGAAGTGGACATGGTTTCATTCAGGCTTTGGCGTTCCACCTTCAAAGAGAGGTTGTGAAATGTTGTATCTAAGTCAATTGAGTGAAAGATAATCTCATTGTTCTTTACTATTTCGCAATTTGTCTCATCCAAATCTGTTTATAGATTCTGAACGACAGATTCCATTTTCGAACCAAAGTTCTAAAAGTTAGCTCTCTAGATCACACTCTTAACCGTACAATATTTATAGGTTTCCCACAAAATCTAATAAGTCATCGACTCTTATAACTTAGACTCATTACAAGAATCTAATCCTCAAATCACTTTTGATCTCTTACAAAAACTTAAGAGTAGATTTTAGCATTCACATCAACACTTTCTTAAACCCATGTTTATGCTACACATAGAATATATAATCACTCTCTCGATGTCGTTTTTTTTTTTTTTTTCTCTCTCTCTCTAAAAAGGAAACCATCTAGCTCTTTATGGTCCCTCCCTATCATGTGTATGAATACCTTTTGGGACCTCTCTAAAAGAGTCATACCATTATAGCAGCCTTAGTACTGTTGCAGTTGCACCCATTCCCACCTATTTATACCTTATGCAATAAATGCTTAACTCATAAAGCTGTCAATGTTTGGTGGCCAAAAATCATAGTGTGTTTTGTTGGGAAAAAACAATTTATTCAAAAAATGGATTGGGTTCACTTTCATCAAGAATTTGTCTACATTTCAATATTATCAAATTAGGTATTCATTCATTCATTTTCATAAATCATGTAGTGTTTATTTTTGGGTATAATTTAGCTGTCACTCCATCAAACTAACTTAGATGTGGGTCTGTGTGATAGCAAAAGATAATAAAAGCATGTACCTATTTGGTATGACATATTTACAAAGCAAACTATTGATATGATCATGTGATTACATATAATTTTCGTTTGACCAAAAAAAAGTACACATAATTTTCATTAACCAGAATGAGCAAAAACAAGTCAAACATACGGAACCAAAATAAACATACAAGATTTTTTTTGAACGCTGATTTAAATTAATAAAAACTGTCCAAGTTTTGATTTTTCTCATTTCAAAATTTAATTGATCGATTTTTGTTTTGGGATATCTGACTATTCTAGTCGATAAAACAAAGTCTACAAACCTTTTAAACAAATACAAAATAAAGAAAGAAGTTAAAAGCTATCAAACACATCAAATCTTCAAGAAAAAACCTTTACACAAGTGGCCAACCAAAATCACGACAAAAAAGAATATTGTAATCTCAAAAAATTATAGTATTCGTTAGACAAACCTCATAACGCCTAGCTTGTCCGTTGCGGAAATCGGAAATTCTATTAGTTCTCGGAAAAGTTGTAGGTGTCCCCTTATGAGATTTGAGGGCTGGCCTTGGGTTGATGTTCGTGGCAACTAAGATGAAAATTCTAGTTCTTCGGAGCTATGGTAAAATGGAATGATCCGCGTTTCAGCGTGTGATTGCTACGTTCTCGTTTGGTATTGTTCGGTTTTATTTTTTTTAATTTCTCAAACCGTTTTTCTTAGTTTTTTGTTGTGGTTTGCTGCTTATTTGTCGTTATTTTGTAATTTTTGTTTAATTTGTTTTTTTTGTTATCCATGTAATTTTTGTCAAAAACCGAAAATTGGTAATATAATCTTTATATCTTACCAAAAAAAAATGTGTCCACTTTGTTTCATAAACAGTGACCAACTGCGTTTGCCAGTATATATTATATTATGCTACCAAGTCACATATAACATAAGAGACAAAATGATAAAGCAATAAAAATTGAAAATAAAATTAAAAGATTAAGAAACCAACAATAATTACAATCACCACCAAATCCTCACGCCCAAACACAAACAACTGCAAATGCCAGCAGAGTTTACCACTAAAACCCCTCTCCTTTTGATAAGTGGGGCTAAAAAAAAAAATTTAAATTTTAAAGAACTCATTTCTGATTTTTTTTCCCCAACCATTTACTTAAAAAATTAATAATTAAAAATCCAACAATTAACAGCTTTTCACTCAATCAATCAGCTTCGTCCACTTGATCTGGACCAGATCGTCTCAAATTCTCAATCTTTCTAACCACTTCCGCCATCTCCGGCCTCTTGTCCGGATGCTGTGACGTACACTCAAGCCCTAGCTGCACCATCTCCGCCATCATCTCTTCATCCTCCGTCGCCAAGCTAAGCAGCTCAGAGTCGAAAACCTCTCTCCTCCACTCATCTCTCACCACCGATTTAACCCATCTCGCCAAATCCACTCCTTCCTCGTTCATCACAGAATTCGACGGAGCTTTACCGGTGATCAGCTCAAGAAGCACCACGCCATAGCTGTACACGTCACCCTTCTGCGACACGCGTTTCGGGTCGGTTACTTCTGGCGCACGGTAACCCGTGGCACGGTTCGGGGTTGTGGTTGAAGAAGCTCCCACCAGCTGAGATAAGCCAAAGTCTGAGACTTTCGCGTCGTGTGACTTGGTTAAGAGGATGTTTGAGGATTTGATGTTGCCGTGAGAGGTCGAAGTGCCTTGTGAGTGAAGGTAGTCTAAACCACGAGCTGCACCAAGAGCAATTCTTGATCGGACATCCCAGTTTAGTGGAGTCCTTCCTGCTCCTCTGTTTCCTGTATTTAGACAAAAAGACAATTATAGAAACTAAAGAAAACAGAGCAAAACTCTTGGAGCTGTCATGGTTGTTAAGTACACAATCATGTAGCTTTCCACTATTGTTTTCTTTTGGCTACTCAAAGCATCCAATGTCAATATTTGTCCCTACCAAATTCTATACGAATACAATGTAAATCCTGTGGATGTTAATTCAACAGAGAATCAAAATCAAAGAGATTAAGCACTAAAATTTTGTGGATAAACTAATCCATGTCCGAATTAAATGTCTTCACCATTCAATCTGTTTATAGTCACTAAGCACCGATTTACCTCGAGATAAACTAAAATAGAGAATAAAGGAAAGAAATTTGACAATGTAATCACAAGTTTTGATCAAAAAGACTCACCATGTAAGAGAGCTGATAAGCTTCCCATAGACATGAAGTCATAGACAAGAAGCTTCTCGTCTCTACTGAAGTAGTAAGCCCTCAAAGGCACCAAATTCTCATGATCCATAGCACCAACCAACTCAATCTTCTCCCTGAACTCTTTATCAGGCATCATCACATCCTTAAGCCTCTTCACCGCCACAACCGTCACAGCGTCAAGCACCGCCTTATACGCCGTCCCAAACGTTCCTTTCCCCAAAACCTCCGCTGAAGCTCTAAGCAAGTCTTCAAGATCGAAAACTTTCGTCGCGTTGCCAAAAAACACAAGCTTTTTCGCCACGGGTCCGTTGGCTTCTCCGGATTTTGTGTTTCCGGTCATCGCCGCGGCGGCCGCTGCAGTCACCGAGTACCTGTTTCCGTTCTCCGCCGCTTCCCCAGCCGGTTTATCGCCGGAAATATCCGTTTCTTGCTGTTTGATTGTGGAAATGTCCACGGCTCTTGATCTCTCGTTGCCCTTTTTCCGGCAGAGCACCATCAATATCAGAACTATCAAAGCGAAACCAACCACGCATCCGATCACAATTCCGGCTATAGCTCCGCCGGAAAGTTTGTTTTTTTTCTTCTCCTCCTTGGTCGCCTCAACACTTGGCGGTGTTCTGTTTCCACCGGAAGTAGGCTGGCTCGGTACAGTTTCTTCATTAGGGCAGATTTTGAGCGGCTTGCCGCAGAGAGAAGTTTGCAAAAACGAATCGGACTTGAATCTCTGGAGATTTTTAGGTATTGATCCGTTCAACGAGTTATTCGAGACGTTGAACTGAACCAATGGTAAATCTAGGTCCGGAATCGAGCCGGAGAGATTGTTATCCTCAAGGTACAGAGTCTTGAGCCTCGTGAGATTGGTGAAACCTGAGGAGATTTCTCCGGTGAAGCTGTTCTCAGCGAGATTAAGCCTCACGAGGTTACTGAGACTGAATAAACCCTCCGGTATCTCGCCGGAGAATCTGTTTCCTTGCAAGAAGAGGTGCCGGAGATCGGAGCAGCTGCTGAGATCCAAAGGGAGGGAGCCAGTGAGAGCGTTGAGACGGAGGCTAAGTGTACGGAGCCGAGTTAAGTTACCGAAAATACCCTCCGGGATCTTTCCGGTGAGAGAAACGCCGGGGAGACGGAGGGCGGTGACTTGATTATTCTCGCATTTGACACCGGCCCAGTTGCACGGCGAGGTTTGCCTTATGTCCCAACGGAATGTGCGGCCGCCGACGGCGGAACGGAGAGATAAAAGTGCGGCTCTATCCGCGTTGAGATCTTGGCTTGAAGGAAGAGGGAGAGTGAGGAGAAGGATCGAGAGGAAAACAGAGAGAATCGCCATGGACGGGTTGGGGAAAACTCGCATTGTGGAGTTTTGCGACGATTCAGAGAAAGAAGAAGAGAGAAACCCAAATTGAAAAGAAAGCTCTTTTGCAGAGCTGTGATTATACAGAAAGTAGTGAAAGCAGTCAACAGCCTAATCCTCTTCTCCTCCTTTTCCCATGTTTTTTTTTTTTTCTCTGTTTTTTATGTGTTTATTATAACTAGGGTAATAAGTTACTTATTACTTTATTAGTGTCAGTAATCGAATTGAAAAATTAGTTTTAAATTACTAATTAAATGATTCGACCAAAAAAAATAGTACTAATTAAATGAAACAAAATAATTTTGTCTAAATTTAATTCCCACTTCAAATTCTTTTAGATTCTTCGATAACTTTGTATCCTACTAATTAAATTTATTTAGTGGCAAAACCACATATAATAAGTTGGAGTTATTCGCCTCTAATAATCTTTTAAAATTTTAAAATTGGTGTAATTTATTAAAATTTAGTATTAATATCTCCATTCATAAAATTATATATATATATATATATATATATTTTGTCAACAGCCTAAATCCTTAAAATAATTTGACTAGCCAAATTGATGATAGTGAATTTACATAGATAATTTTTGAAGGGTAGATACGAACACTCCTTTCTAAGTTATATATATATATCTTTATTTATTTGTTTATGAAAAAAATTTCTGAGTTCACCACTTATTTACTCTTGTTAATTGCAAATTTCACTGACATAATTTGTAGTATAAAAACTGAAGTTGGTATTTTTATTTAATAAGAAAAAGTTGGGAAGAGAGAGTTGGTAGGACCGTAACATGGTAGAAGATCACAAGACTTCACAACCATATTTGATTACATTGAAGTTTCGAAATAAAATATTCACTTGTTTTACCAAAAAAAAAAAAATATCATTTGCGTCTGTCTCCTCGTCCATTCTGCATATACAATATTATAGGATCTTCTTTGTTTTTTTTTATTTTTGTATCTAAAAAATTCTTGACACAGGGTCTGGCCGTCTGGGACCATGTTAGATTTGGAATTCAATTTACAAAGTGGATATACGAATTCTGGAATTTTTATTTGACATTTTCTTTAACATATGCATGGTGTATCTTAGTTATGTTTTATGGTTATAAATCAATAATTTCCTATTAGATTTTGGTATTTGGCAAAATGAATAGTTGTATTTAATTAGGTTAAGATCATTTACACATCCAGAAACGAAAAGAAGTCGTGACGTGTGCATCGATACATGGTTGGGCGTTAAACGAAAGGAAAAGACAACTACAAGTCTACAATTAAATATTTACATTTTTATTTTCATGTGTTTGGCTCCTTTTCTTCTCACCAAAAACCATTAATTGGAAGTTTCATTTGCTCGTGAAAGACCAAAGAAAGGAAATAAAACAAAAAACAAAAAAAAAAAACTGATTATTCTTCATTTGTCGGAGATTCCACGCCCTACGCAGAGAAGGAGGAAGAGACTGGAAGCTTTCAAAACCGGCAGGTCATGCGTTTGCGGAGAGGAGAGAATATAGTAGGAAGATGAGGAAGAGAGTACCTAAGAAGAAACAGGAATTGGAGCTTAGTGTCAGTATCTGCATCGAGGAGCAGCTTCCTAATGATCGTGAGATTCAGGTTTGTCTATTTCTTGTCTTTGATAATCGAATTTGAATATAAAATCATCGTTTCTGGGAGAATCATAATGTCTGGTTGTTTCGATTTGCTGCTCTTAATTCTCTCTTTTGAGATTCTATAGAATATTGCGGAAATACTTTGTCTTAATGTGCCAATGGCAATGAAGCTAGCTTTTGATGGATTGAAAGATTCTAAGTATAAAACAAGAGAAACTGGCATAGAAGATGTTGGTGGGTTTGAAACCGTGGAATTGTCTGTAATGCTTTGCAACGATGAGTTCATAAGTATGATAATTTCTTAGATTGGATTTGTTTGATATATTTGTTCATAAGTATGATAATTCGTTATTAAGCAAATCAGTTTTTTTATCAGGTAATGGCGATTGGGATAGGGAAAACGACATAGAGATGCTGGAACTTGCTTCATTTGGAGTCGCTATGAGCAACGATGCAGAGAAGACAAAGACCATGGCTGATGTAATCGGTGTAAGCAATGACGAAGATGGTGTTGCTGATGCCATTTACCGATACGCCTTCTGAGATTACACCACCACCAGTGTCACACTCGACTCAAGCTTACAACGAGATTATACCAAATTTCATTATTGAGGTTCACTAATGGAGGACCAAGATAATAACATGTTCTCTATTGTTCATAATTACAAAAAGATTAATATAAAATTCTTAGGAGCCCCTTAGAGGGGTTCTCTAATGTACATGCTCTTATCAATTTCAAGAATTGGTATAAGAGCTTCATCACTAAAAAAGCCTGAGTTTGTTGAGAGAGAAGTGAAAAGAACGAGAAATTCCAATGGGAGATAGCAGCAGTGCAAAAGGGTTCGTTGTTTCGGCTATTCCACGGTTCGATGGTCATTACGATCATTGGACACGCTGATGGAGAACTTCATTCGTTCGAAGGAGTATTGGGATCTCATAGAGAAGGGGATCAGCAGGTTCGAAGGAGTCAATCCTACTGAAGCAGAACAGAAGGTGATTAAAGAACAGACGTTTGAAAAACTTGAAACTCAGGATTTTTTTTTATCAATCCATCGATAGAGATATTTTTGACGCCATCCTCAATACAGACACAAGCAAACAGATCTAGGAAAGTATGAAACGGAAGTTTGAAGGATCCACCAAGGTAAAGAGAGCAAGCTCCAAGCTTTACGCAAGGAGTACGAGACACTTCAAATGAAGGAAGGAGAGATGGTGAACAGTTATTTTGCAAGAGTTCTTGCGATAGCTAAAAAGATGAAAGTGTATGGAGATTCACTTCTAGAGAATGCCATTTTGGCGAAGATTTTAAGGTCCATGACAATGAGGTTCAATTGCGTGGTATGCACAATTGAAGAATCTAACAACCTGGATACTCTCACACCAGATGAACTCTAGAACAGTCTCCTGATTCAAGAAGCACGAATGAAAGGAGGGATTATGGAAGAAGATCAATTTCTTAAGGTCTCTTATAAAGACAGAGGAAGAGGGATCTTGATAGATAGGACTTTTAAGGGTCTCAGGGCTATCAATCCCCTTGTCAATGTAGCACAAAGAGGTTTATCAATCCAGATGTGGTGTTAGACACTAAGCTATTTGATCAAGTTCTTAATTCAAGCAAACAAGAGTGGGTTTTGATTAATCTAGAGACAACTACAAACTTAAACAGGATTAAGGATTAATGAAATGCTTAAACAAGAACTAAACAATGACAAATGATGAGAATGTATGAATGATGATAAGAAAGGTCTTAGACATGATAGTGGATTAGGGTGCCTTCAGTGATAAACTAATGAGCTAATGAATCATATGATCAAGCAAGCCATTTAACATAAACATCTCTAACTAAGTTAATCCTCTCATGAAGGCATTAACTCCTATGCTAAATCAGTTTCAAACCCAATCATCATCAGTGAAACATGAGTTAACAAGCATTAAGAATCAGTTTAATCTGTCATTTAAGCATATAAACAATCATTCCCATGATGAATAACACTTAAACCTCTAACAACTTTGGTTCAGGCATTTCATCAAACACTTTTGGTGCATGAAATGCCCAGAATCTAGACCACATATGATTTGTATGGATCTAGCATAGAGAACAAGTTGTAGAGAATGGAATATGCATGATCTAACCCCTAAGCTCGCTAATCTACCACTTAAGCACCCTAATCTACATATCTAAGACCTTAATATGGGATTACTCACTAATCATACTAATCTCTCTTAAACCTTTGCAAGTTGAGAAGATTAGCATGATTAATGATGAGAAATGGAGATAGAGATGATAGATTCAAAAGTAAACAGCTTTAAACACCCAGATCTCTTAAAACTCTCTTGATTAAACACTCAAAAATAGATATTTCTCTTCTTAATGGAGTCTTTTTCACAAAAGAGGCAAGAGACAAAGGGAATAAAACTTAGTTCTCCCCCAAAAAAACCCTAAAAAGGATTTATACCTTCTTAAAAATGAACCGGGTCAGCCCGGAACAAACCGGGTCCTGACCCGGCTTTAATGGATAAAGTGGGAAAAGCTGCGGGTCGGTTCAGTATGTCCCAGGCCGCACACCTAAGTCGCAGTAGATGAAGACTTGTCTTGTGAGGCTTGAATCGCCTTGTCGGAGCCGCACGCCTATCTAGGAGTAAATTGCGAGTGTTTCTGCGGCATGGTCTCCTTCCTCTCCAACTCGCAGGGCTGAGCCGGTTTCTGGGGGATGTAGAAACTGTGCGGGTTGGTCTCTATTGCACTTAGGTCGCAGGCTCAAGTCGGAGTGAATTCCGAGTGATCGTGCGGCATAGATCCAGGCACGGATGACTCGCATGCCTAAGTCGCACGATTGTGGACTTAGCATTTCTCTTGCTCGGGAGCTCCAGACCTCTTCCAGTGATAGTTTACCCGCACATTTCAACTCGCAGCATCAGAGCAGCTTAGATCACTTCGCATTCCGGAGAGTGTAACTCCTGTGATACTTGTCCGAATTGAATGATTTCGGTTGCAGAAGACAGAGGACTCATTTATCTCCAACTTTTGTGAAGGAAGTTTCAGTGCTTGGGAGGTGGAAGGCTTCCTGGAGGGCACATCTTTGCAGTGCATGTATACGACCAGAGAGAGGCGTCTAGACATGTGTCCATTCCGGAGGCCGTATCTTCCTGCTCATAGATCCGAATTGAATGCTCTTGGACGTTCTGGAAAGAAGACTCAAATGTCTCTGATTCTCATGAAGGACCCGGAAGCTGAATCGGCCTGGAAGTGCACCGTCCTTCGCATCCTTCAGAACTGATCTGCTCGGTCCGGAATACCTGCGAGACAGGGGTTTCTTCCGACGAGCTTATCTCTCTGCTCACGCGTCCGAATTCTACGATTCCAATTGCTATGAGACCGTGCTTCAATGCTCTCCAACTTCTATGAAGGACCCGCCATCTGAATCGGACCGGAAGGCTCCCCGGACAGGTGATTTCTGAGACTCGTTCGCACCCGGAGATTTTGGCCGATATACTTAATTCGCGGTACGTGAAAATGGCCGGTAAAGCTTCCCGCGGTACATGAAAATGGCCGGTAAAACCTTCCTGGCCAGCGAGAATGGCCGATAACCTCCATAGACTCAAGTTTTCCACTTTTTCAAGCTCTGCTCACCATTCCACCTCCTGGATTCATCTTTTCAGCTCCATAATCACCTGATAGACACTCAAAACATGCAAAGACTCATTGGGACCTAATGCATCTCCTAAGTTCTAAAACAAACCCTAGGGACCTAAAATACATGAAATAAAACATGATTTGGAATGATTTATGCAACCTAAATGATGCAAATTATGAACATATCAACTCCCCCACACTTGTCCTTTGCTTGTCCTCAAGCAAAAAGAGCAAATGAGAGAAAGAGGTTGTATGCAATGGGAGTTCACATTTTCTTTTTGAGAGAAGTGATCACAATGAGAATTCAAGTTCATGCTCAATTATGCAATGCAAGCCATACTCAGATATATGTCAACTCAGCAAGGAATCTCCACAAGTTCTTCTCTCTCTCAACTCTTTCACATTCATTAAGCTTTTATCAGGTGGATCTCATGATGCAAGGTTTAAACAAGCTGGCTTGGCTAGGGAGAGGCTATGAGATTAAAATGATCTCATCAGTGTTCAAGTGGGTTAAATGCAGCAAAGGGATCTCTCTATGAATGATCAAACTTTGGCAGAATGCTAAAGGTAAAAAGCAACCTATGCATACAAGGGCAAAGACTCATCACTCCCCACCCTCTACTCAAAGCTTCCTCTCTTGCTCAAAGACCTCACTTTTCACACTCATTTTTCTCTCACTAGGGGATTTGTTCTTCACTTTCACTCTCAAGTCTTGGAACTCAAACTTTACACAGCTCTTTTTCTTTTACAACTTCTAGCCTCTTCTTTCTTTCTTATCAAAACATTTGAGCTTTTGGCTTCTTTTCTTTCTTTTTCACTTAGAGGCTAGATTTTTCTTTTCAACGAACCAGAGCTCACTTTCTCAAAACACCAAGACTGACTTCTTTTTCTTTCATTCCCCTAGTTATTTTCACTCTCTCTTTCCACTCATCTCACCTTTTTCCACTCACCAAAAAGTCTTTTCCCCCACACTTATTCCTCGCCAAAACTCTCAGTTCCTTGATGTTGGAACACAGCACTCAATGAGACCTGCCCTTGTCGCTCTAAACCTAACACTTTCTGCTAAGTTTGATCCAAGGTGGCCTTTCAATTCACACACAAACATTGGCTTAAAAGAAGGATGGGTTCAAGGTATAGGAACTGATCCTTGATGTGGATTCAGCTACTTGAGCTAAGGAAAAGAGTGGTGAAAACAGTGGTTCTAGCTCAAGTATGTATATTGGTATCCACAAGCTTTTTCAAACAATGCATCACAAGATATTTTCAAGTCAAGTTCAAGGTTCCCACTTAATTAGAGTTGAGTTTAATTCAAACTTGCTTCTCAGATTCAAATCATTTCAGACTTTGCAAGCATAGAAAAAGATTCACAAGCATATTCAATTCAAGTTCTCAAAGTGATGTACTCTCTAGAAAACCTATCATTACTCCTTGCAAGATGCAACCTATATGCAAATGCAATCTAGACTCAATCCTAAAAATGAGAATGCAACTACATGATCATTTTTTTGTGAAAATTTTTCAGATTTTTCCATTTTTTTTTGGTTTTTATATGCACTTAGATGACTATGCAACTAGAATGTGACTCAAGACTCAAAGTGTAAAATGAGAAAATAGAAAACATGGTTAGTAAAGGATGAAACTCCTCCCCCACACTTAAATAACACAGTCCCTTGTGTTATAAAAGTATGAGAAAGAAGTGAAACCAAAGCAAACAAGCAAAATGCAAAAGGAAACAAGCAAAATGCAAAAGGAAAAGAAAGTCTACATGCTATTTACAAGGTTTTGAGTGTTACCTAGTGGCTGTTGAAATTCGATGTGTGGCCTGACGGTGTTTCCCAAGAATGGTGGCTGGCTTCATCACTCCCGTCGTCAAGATCTACCCAAGTGGTTCCATATGCGACCAAGGCTGTGCAGTTCATGGAACTCTCCCCAACTTCCTCTCTGTTCCTTGGTGAAACTGGTGCTGGAGCCCCACCTTTGCAAGGGTTTTCAAGCTGCTTGATCCTCTTCTTCATCTCCTTGATGCACTTGGCCATCTTGTGGATGGTTTTGTCTTGGTACTTGCACCATTGTTGGAGAATACCAATCTTCTGTTGAGCTCTGAACC